CTTTTGGTGTAAGCGCGAAACCTGCGGGAATGACTAAAATAATGCGCAATACAAGCATTTAACCGGAGCGAATGAGACGTGGGTGTGAGAGAAGGGGTCGTCGTAGAGATGAGCGCGAGAATGCGCGGCTGACGTTATTGCCTGTGCCGCTGGTAACAAAACGGATCGGCTCGGAATCGGAAAGAAGTGAGACTGATCGGCCATTCACCGATCCCTGGCCGATCGATCGGTGCATCTCTAAAAATAATGTGTTTTTTATTTATTTATTTATTTATTTATTTATTTACATTTTAAATATAAATGCAAGATTAGATTTGGAAATACTTTATTTTCAAATGCAGTCCATTGAATACACATTTGTATTGTATTGAATACACATTTGAAATAATCCAGTCCTAATTAAATTGAATGAAATATAGTAAAATATATCTGCGTGATTTAACATAGAATCCACTAGAAAAGCACAACTGGCAAAATCTGAAAGTTTAATTTGTCACATAAATGTGATATGTGATTTTTTTGCTTCTCGTACTTTAACAGAAAGACTTGAATATTACTTTAGCTTTTAATTTAGTGACAGAATAATGTCTTTTCTTGACATTTTTTACATTATTAATACAGTATGTCAGCAATACTGATCCCAAACGCTCTACAGGCTGAGACCTGCTTCAGAGTTCTCATCTCCTCCCTCTATCACTCTCTCTTTCGTTTCTCTGACTGATGAGGTCATACGTTCGTTGGAAAAATAAATTCTAAACAGACTGCCTGCAGCTGGGTCTTTTCCAATGAGATGGAAAGAGCCATAAAGAATTAATACGCCTGAAACACACACACACAAGTGTGGGCAGGTATTATTACTCCATTTTAATTTGTTTCTCATTCCAAATACTGAATGAAAGCTGAATAAATGTATAAATAGTCAAACAGTGTGCTCTTTGTGCTGTCAGATATGCCAACTGTAACACCAAAACCAGATTCTACATTCACGGAAGAAAAAGTGAGCAGCACTTGCAGTATATCATTTACCATTTAAAATGAATAACGGTTCACCATTAAAACGTATCTGTTACTAAAACTGCCAAGGCTAGGGATCATTGTTAAGTGCTTGGCTGATGTGATGATTTTATTTTTGATTTAAGATTTAAACGAGCTTTGGGGTGCCCCAACACTCGATAAGATGTTCTTGAGTTCAATAGAGGTGAATCTATGCTGTCTGTTTTGGTTTTGTTTTGTTTGGAGGGTTCTGGGATGTCCTCAATGCTTTTCCAGCTCTAAAGGAAATTAATCTTGGAGGAAGTACAGTAGATGAACTTACATATTCATCAGTGTTTGGGTCTTGGTTCTGGGGCTGTTCGGGCGCAGGAACCTCACAGTCGGGGCTGTAGTGCTCACAGTAGTCAAACGCAGCGCGATGGTCCGATAAAATCATCAGCTGCTGGATGTCACCCTGGAAACAAAGAAATCAACTGTTAGAACTTCTGAAAATAGCACAAAACAAATATGGAGGATTGACACATCTTTGTACTTGATACAGGCCATGTAAGAGACAAATAAGACCAGCAGAGAGAGCAAAATTTCTACTCCCTATAAGGCAGGGAGTGGATGCCATATTTAATTTGATGCAAATGAAAATGAGGCTGTGAGGGAAGGAAGTACAGTCCATTCAATGCACCTTTAATAAACAGTTATATCTTATACAGCTTACAAGGCTCACATTTACTAAGTAGTGTGATTTACTTTGACTCTACATAAGCTAATGTTTAAAAGAGCCAGCTAGAGCTAAGGTATCAAAAAAGAGCTAGATAAAAATAATTTTAACTCCAAACATTTATGTATAATAATGTATAATGTGCATAATAATGTACAATAATTTTAGTAATAACAAAATTACATATTATTATAATTATATATAATGAATAATATAAAATACATTTTTATTACAATTTACTACAATTCATTAATGTTAATGATAAGGTCATTATATTTTTAAATGTACTAACTTTCTACACATATAACTATAATTATATTAATTATATATTTATAAAATAATGTTAATTGATTATAATTCATTCAAATATAAATTTAAATATAATTAATTATGTAAATATTATTCATAACATTTTCTGTTCTCATTATATTGCCAAATGATGATTTGAAATAATAATGTTTTAATGCAGCACAGAGTCAGCAGGAATGAGGTTCATTAATTAGTCATTCTCGTTTTATACAGCGGTTGAGTAAGTGAGTCAGATTACTTCAGTAACTGCTCAGACTGATTCGTAAGTGTTTGGAAAAATGCAGATGTCCAAGAACTGTTAACAGAAAAACAGAATAAGCACTGTTCTTGGTTTGCCAAACCTACCATTGAATTGTATACTAATGCATGAAGAAACATCTACAATAATCACACAAATAGGATGAGTCTTCATATGAATCAGGAAGTCAAAACAGCATTACGTCAAATTCATCCAAAATTCAAAACACGCATAGAAACAGGAGAGAAACAGCTGTAACCTTTCATTCAATAACCATGGTTTTTGGAAAAATAATGAATACAGTATGGAAAAGGGATGAAACACCTGTTGCAATAGGACAGGAAACACACACACAAACGGTGAAAGTGGGTCATAGTCTGGGAGGAGAGTTGAGTCAGCACCTGAGCGGATGCCAGAACTGTCCAATTGAATTAGGGCACAATGACCAGCACCTGTACACTTACACACACACACACACACACACACACACACTACGAGACAGAAACATTCCCTTCCCATCTGAAAAGGTAATTTCGTGTTTTACTGACTTTACAATATGTGCTCACTGCATAACAATAATCCACTTGTCCATAATTACTATAATTTGTGAGCATTTCTCTCTCATTTCCACATGCACAAAAACACACACAATCCTTTCAGTTATGACCAGTATAATCTGATTCATGAACAAATGACTCTTTTGAATCTGTCAACAAAAAAAAACTCACAAACTTACAAATAGACTTGTGCCGGTATTCGGTAATGCGATATATCACGGTAATGAATATGCACGATATTGTTATCGTGGGCACTTCTAAATACCGTTAATAATTATATATTTAAAAATTATTCAGAATTTTGAATGCATTTTAACTAAGAGTAAACCCTTATATTTCTGTATTGCTTTATTGCATTTAAATGTTCAGTTATTTTTGTTATAAGAAAAAAGTTATTAAACCTGTTATACTGTATTATGACAGCACTTTTTTTTAACTTAATTTCAATATCGTGATAATACCGTATACCGTAATAAAAGCATTAGCAATTAATCGCAACATGAAAATTTGATACCGGCATATCCCTACTTACAAATCACTGGTTTGAATCAGATTGGATGTTTATATGGCATATAGTTGAAGATAAACATAAACAGCTTTATTAACTAAAAAAAAAGCTTTATTATTATTAATTTGATAAATGTTATCCTATTGAAAAACTAAAATATTGTGGCATCAGCTACTCACACATAGACACACATGCATGCAATCCTTTCAATTATGTGTAGTGTAGTGTAATTTGATTCAGGAACAAATTACTCTTATGAATCACTCAAAAAGATTCACAAACTCAGAAGTTATCAGTTTGAATCACTCTCTATGCTTATATGACAACATGGAGTTGAAGATAAACATTAACAAAAAGGCTTTATTATTATTATTACAATAATTATTAATTTAACTCAGAAAAACAAAAACAAAATTGCAATTAAATTAAACAGAATTTTATTTTTTTGGGGTGAAAAACAACAACAATTTAAAGCAGTATTACACTTATTGTTTTTATGCTTAAACCCTTTTTCGTCTTTGACCCAAATATAAAAAATTAAATTAATTATTAATTATATAAGTCTACTATATTTTTAAAATATTTCTATTAAAATATACACAGTATACACACACATTAAAAAAAGAGGCTTAATTATAATAGATGTTATTTTAATCAAATAATTTTAAAAAATATTGCGGCATCAGCCACTTTCCCATGATGCACTGCCATGTTCATTGTTAATTCTTGTTATTAGAGTGTTGTTAACAGCAATTGTTTTTGTTATATTCAATGATTTTTAACTGAAATTATATTTTTAGTTCATTTTGAGGGTTAAAAGTTTTTCCACTCATCGTGTGTGTGTGCAACTGAATGAATAAAGCATAATTTATTCAAAAGCTGACATTGCATCATCACTTTAAAAATAGTATTATTTCATTCCGTTTCTAAATGTGCAGGAAACGCCGCACTGATTTATTATACCAGTCAGATTCATATATCAGTCTAATCGGTGATTCTTCCTTGTTATACATGCGCTAATACACATTTTTCCCACAGCGATCCGAGGAAACTTGTACAAGCAGGCGGAGAAAATGTGGGCAAAGTGAGTGTGAACTCAGGAAGATGAATGTCTGGAACTGACACGAGTTTAGAGTCAAACATGAAGAGACTAGCGCACACACACATTATCTAATGAAGGAGATTTAAATCATCATGGGAAAACAAGACAGAGAGAGAGAGAGAGACGTGCAGAAGGCTCTCCAGGCTGTGTGGAGATTTGGCTGTGAGAGCGACCAGACAGAATCAGCACAGCAAACACAAGAGCCACAGAGAATACTGCAAAACAAAACGCTTCTGGAGTCGAGCAAACAGCTGAACACAGAGCTCCAGAGGACGCATTGCATAACAGAGAGAATTATGGGTACTTTTTTTTTCAGGGAAACTTTGGTGCAGGGTAACATGCTTTAAGTTTTGCTTTAAGCGAAATATGTTCAGCAAGGATGCATTCAATTGACTAAAAGTGACAGTAAAGACATTTATAACGTTACAAAAATTTCTATTTCAAATAAATGCTGTTCTTTTGAACTTCCTTTTATGACAATTATCTTTATGACATTTAACTTCAGTAGCCATATAACGTAACATGGGGAATCCAGGAGACATAATTATTTTTTAATAAACAAATGCAACATGGAGCATTACATTTGCACTCTGTGTATCAAAAAATCACATTTTAATTGAATAAAAATAACTAATTGTTTTAATGAGACAGATGGGCCTGAATTCTCACTCTGCATTATGAGTCACATTTTTTCATGAAATCATTCATTTTTAGTGATTATGCATGTACTTTGCATGTAAATGTGCATTTGCATGCAAATGAGATGCATGTAAGATTAAATTAGCATGCCGTTCTTGTGCACTACTGTTCAAAAGTTTGGCATCTTTTTACTTTTTAGAAATTACTTTTATTCAGCAAGGATGCATTAAACTGATCAAAAGTGACAGTAAAGACATAACAACAAAAACGTTTCTATTTCACATAAATGCTGTTCTTTTGAAATTTCTATTCATCAAAGAATCCTGAAAAAAAATGTATCATGGTTTCCACAAAAATATGAAGCAGCAGAACTGTTTTCAACATTGCGAATGTTTCTTGAGCAACAAATCAGCATATTAGAATAATTTCTGAGGATCATGTGACACTGAAGACTGGAGTAATGATGCTGAAAATTCAGCTTTGCATCACAGGAATAAATTACATTTTAAAATATATTTAAATACAAAACAGCTATTTGAAATTGGAATAAGATTTCTCAATATTCCTGTTTTTACTGGATTTTTTTATCAAGTAAATGCAGCACAGGAGAACATAAGAGTCTTCTTTCAAAAAACAGTGTAAGTAGCATCAGTGTCTTTCCTGGTTTTTGTTCTCTTTGTCACTCGTGACATTTTCCTAAAGCTTTACTGTAGCCGTTTCTCGCTGGTTGTAGCTCTGGATTGTTTGCCAGTGTAAACATGTGTTTGGACTTGACACCAGATTCAGATCCAAAATCCAGAGTCTGCTAAATCCACACACACTTCAAACCTTTCAAACTGGCCCAACACACACACAGACAAATCTATTCTTAATGTAAACTAAATATAATCACTGAGTGGTCATTTTAGCACAAGCTCTTATCCGAAGCAAATTTCAAGACATCCGTTGACAAGTAAGCTTTCAATTATTATTTCACCACAATCAAATACATTCAGATGAGCCCTAACCTTAAAATACAACTTTTGGCAGTTCTAGACAATATATAGTCCTTTATAAATCCCTTGAAGCTATGATTAATCACACTCATCCTCCTCTGCTCATAATCTAACAATAGTACAAACTGAACCGGCCGTCTTCTCTAATCCTCATTTCTCTGTCATCTGCAAATATGAATATTTTAAACCGGAATAAATCAGGTCTGTAAAACGATCCCTTGGACTTTCCACATTACTCCAGATTTGAACATACAATATTTCTGTTTGCATAGCGTGCGAGGAGAAGAGCAGCAGAACAGGCAAGAGGAAAGCAGAAACAGAGGTGTACAGAGACGACGGATCTATTCTGGGATTTCTGTGTCTGAGAGAAATTTATCACATTAAAGTGGGA